GCATAAGCTTTCGTGGGTAAGAACCTCACTTCGTCAGATGCAAGGTTCTGACGAAGTGAGGTTCTTACCCACGAAAGCTTATGCTCCCAGTACTTCTGTTAGTCTCAAAGGTGCCACAGGACCCTCTGTTGCTTTTTACAGATTCAGACTAACACGGCTACCCCTCTGATACAAGATGACAGTCAGAATTCCATCGCAATCCAACATCCCAAAGGCTCCCTCGGGTTAGAGATCAGCATCCCATTGGGATGAGCTGGCAGCAGCAGGGAAGGCTTCCAGAACCCGCTGGCCAACGCTGCAGCCAACGATTCAGTGTGAAATTTAAAATGAAAATGCCTTGGACGTAGGTACAAACCCTATTACAAAATCCAGGAAGAGATTTGTATACTTTTGGGGCTCATGAAAGTTAAGGTTAAACAGGGTTGGGAAGGAGCCAAACATACATTTGACAAAGTTCTCATCTTAACAAGGGAAAGCAGCTTTAACAGGCAAATTATATCTGAGGGCATAAAGTGGGCCCTTTAAACAAAGGGATAAGAAATTGCCTTTACATAAGCCATTTAAAAATCGGACTTCAAATTTACAGTCCCATTCTGTGCCAACCACAACACTCTCCTTTGGGCTACATATTATACTCATATTTGTTTTCTTTTCCAAATACTTTCAGCACAATGCTACTGAGCTGTTATGTGTGCACCTGGGGGAAAAAACTGCACGTTTTGCCGGCTATATATAAACTTTCGTGCAATTAAATGCTGGGACTGCATTTCAACCTAAACTACCTTCTTTGATAGAAACTTGGTTACAAAAATAAGTGTTCAAACCAGAGTATTTAGAACCATCTTGGTAATCACTGATTAAATAGGCACTGTTGATTCTGTAGCCATTGTTGTTTCTGTAACTAATTCTATTTAGAGAAGAAATTGTTCAAAACAGCTTTTGCCCACAATGTGTTCATTATCTTTATTTAGGGCCAAATTCTCTCACACTGATGTAAACTCAGAATGACAATTTACTTCAACTCCTCAATTACATTGAAAGCTGCACATATTCAGCACTCTAAGGCCATTTTTTATGTAGGTTACTAAATATGAATTTAGGAGCTCAAGTTCAGGTACTTAAGTCAAAATTTTCAAAACCAAGTTTTAAAACAGGGACCATATTCAGTGTTCAGTTACAACTGTGCAAACACACAAACAAGACAATGGGATCACACAAAGCTGAACCTGGTTTGTAGAAAGAACACAACTTGTTTCAGACTCCAGGGTAAGTCTGCGCTACTAGTGATTAGGAATAAAAGTCATCCTGGAAATGGACCAAACTTGATCTGGAGTTAAGACCTAGTGGGAATATCTATCTGGCAATTACAAACAGCTGACTTGGGCTCCCAGGACTCGGGCTAAGGGCTGTTTAAGTGCGGTGTAGACATTTGAGCTTGGGCTGGAGCCCAGGCTCTAGGATCCTGCGAGGCGGGAGGATCCTAGAGCCTGGGTTTCAGCCCAAGCCCAAATGTCTACACAACAATTAAATAGCCCCTTAGCCCAAGTGAGCTGGCGTCTAACTGCAGCAGAAACATACCCAGTAAGGGAACGTACAGTGCCATTCAGAGTAGAATTGTCCTTTAAAGGAAATCATTTAAACGAAATCAAGAAGGGTATATAGTATTAAGGCAGCCAGTCAATTCTTAGCTCGCTTTCCTATGCCTAAGCATGTCAACACATGATAATTAAAATGAGTCAATTCTAAGACTCATGTAATGCTTCAATACAAAGAGTGCGTCAAGAACTGAGCAGCAGAATTGAGGAAGAATTATTTTTCTTTTTTCTAGTTCAGAGTCCCAATGTTAAAAATAACACCTTTTGTATTTAAAGATCTACAAGTGACAGCTTTAAAATGTATCAAAGTGCGGAGTTACTTTTAGTTGAGATCATGGAAATTTAGCCCCTCCATTGTCAGTAACTAAATAAGACAGTTTCATGCTTCCATAAACATCTGATGAATTTAGCAAAAGGAAGAGAAATGATAAAGGAACCAAGGCTCCTGAACAGAACTTTGGGCTGTGCTCAACATAGGGAGCTGCACAGTTGCTTGGGACTGACTTTAGGTCAAGCCAAATATCACAGCGCACTAATAATTCAGTCTACCAGCATTATTCTGATTCACACCTCAAAATGTAGCATCAGAACTGCCAGGTTGGGTGAGGTGTTTCCCCAGGGCATAGGCAAGGCTTCCATGAATTGCTACACTTATCACACATAGTAGTATCACTTGTATTTTGATTTCCTCATTCTCCTTGGCAGCAAGGCTTTTTTTAATGTGCCCCACCATGGCTATCAACAGTGATAAACAATGGTGAGAAACTAAGGAAAGGCAGTCTGTGTAGAAACACCCAATGCTCTCACTTGGACAACGCTGTGTGCACACAACTCAATGACTTTAAAAAAAAAAAACAAAAAAAACCCCAATCCCCCAGTAAGGTAGACTTTGATACATGCATAAAAACAGCCAGACTGGGTCAGACCAGTGGTCTATCTTGCCCAGTATCCAGTCTTCTGGCAGCAACCAGAACAGGGAAATTTTAAGTGATCTATCCCGTTGTCCAGTCCCAGCTTCAGGCAGTTGGAGGCTGAAGGACACCAGGAACATGGGAGTTAGCCAGGATGGTCCGGGATGCAATAGTCATTGATGGACCTATTCTCTATGACTTTACCTAATTCATTTTTGAACCCAGGACAGATCTCACATAGGTTAACGTCAAAGCAGTTGGAATTCACACCCATGGGACAGCCTTCCAGCCAGACCCATACACAAACTTACCCCTTGGTTTCCTTGAAATTGGATTGTTGGTCTCAATGCAACAGAGTCCTACAAAACAAGGAAAAAACAGTTTCAGTTATAACATGCACTACCAAAAATATTCAAATAATTCAGTTTGCATTAACAAGGATGCTACAGTATACATCTTTTGAAGGAAAAGGTACAGTGAACTAACCACAAAGTATTGCTACTGATCTTTTAAGTTGAAAATTTAATAGGGATTTGTCCCTAGAATAATAAGAAATGCCATACTGAATTAGACAGTCTATTATGCCATCAGCAGTGTTCAATACCCAACAGTAATACTTTGCACTTACAAACAGTCTTTCATACATGCTTCAGAGGAAGGCAAAAACCTATAATGCTCCTGGCACCTTTGAAATGCCACATATTGAATTCCTTCCTGATCCCTGTAATCATTAATTTACACCGTGAAACATTATATTTGAGGCACGTACAGACACATTGGTTGTATATTTGCAATGCTTAAGTAGTTTGTAAGCCTACATTCTTAGTAGAGGATTAAGGGAAAAATCTGTTACAGCACTCAAATCTAGAATTTTAGGTAAATTATCATTCCATCTAACTCTTCAAGGTACTTAGCTGTCAGGTTCCTGTTAATAATATCTTATCAATGAGGTTGTGATGCTTACAAACAAACAAACACAATTTTTCCTGTGACACTAATGTGCTTTCATTTCAGGAAGTTGCACTATTGTTTGTTCAATCACGACCCTATAAAAAGTTCCTTATAATAGACATCAATTAAATTCAATAATTACGTTTTATTTAGATTATGGATGCACTGTAATCCAAAAAAAACAAATATATGGTTTGCATTCCCTGATACTTTAACCTTTGATGGCACTGGAGGCTAAAGAAAAATCAGTTTGAAGTCATTACTTAAAAGATACTAAGATTGAAAAAAAATATTAATGTATATAACTACGAATTGGTTTGGAAAGCTTGTGTAATCTGTGTAGGTTCTTTTCACTTCCTAAACCCCAAAACATTTCAGTGCATTTTAATGCAATATATACTTGCCAACAGCCCAGCAATCATGCTCTACTGATAGGGTAGCAAGCATGTCTGATTAATGAACACATTTCGGTGGGGAGACTGATTTCAGTATCAGCCTTCCCAAGTGATGAAAAGCAAGTACACCCCTATCCCGATAGAACACAAATTCGGATATAACGCGGTAAAGCAGTGCTCCGGGGGGTGGGGGGGGTGGGAGGGGGCAAGGCTGGCAGATCAAAGCAAGTTCGATATAATGCAGTTTCACCTATAATGTGGTAAGATTTTTTGGCTCCTGAGGACAGCATTATATCGAGGTAGAGGTGTAGTTACATATACCTTGACTATGGCCATTTCAAAGGAATGAATTCCATTAGGATTGCTCTCTGAATTGCTTTAACTTGTCTGATGTGACTGGGTGCACGCAATAGGGGAACGCTTTCTGTGCTACTTCCATGTATCTGGGACATCCCAACATTTCACAGACTTCAATGATTAATTGCCCCAGAAATATGCATACGTAAGAGGGTGTGCCTCGCTGTGAAAGAGTCAATGGCTTCCGAGTCTAGTAAGCAAAGTTTCCCTATTGAATTCCATAAGGTATCTTTCCAACTGACATCAAATTATTGTGACTTAGCAAAGAAAACCTCTGATCTAGGAAAAAAGTCTATAGATAGACAAACAAGCTTAGAGCAAGATGAAACCCACTGGGTGTTTCACTGCACATCCATTATGATTTAAGTCATTAACAACTTCCAACAATGTAACCAAGTCAGGTACCCACTATCACTAAAGAAAAACAGTGGCCTTGAAGTCTGGAAAGCACTCACTTTCTGCCTTGTACTGAATACTCTGCAGACAGAATATACCTTCATAGTGAAATGATAAATGTCTTTCATGCACTTCATACAGGATTCACTAAATTCTTTAAGTACCACGACACTGCATACCACAGCACACTGTTCATAGACAGACTGGCCAGCTCTTGTTCCTGGTGTCAGCATGTACTGTACAGCGTATGTCCATAAATCCATATGACTGTAATTAAGGGGACATTGAATTTGAAGGCATTTTAAAGAACACTCACTGCATTGCATAAGAACATTGCATTTTTGTATCTAATTATAGATTTAAAATCATCTGCGCTTAAATCTGGAAAATTACTTAAAAAGCAATCACATGAAGTCCAGACGTATTGTATGCAAATCATGACAAATTTATAAAGTAAGTTCGGTGATTACAAATGTACCTATCCAAAAACCAACATTCGCTTTCACACCACTGCAGAATAAAAGATGATTTATGAAAGATCCCAGGGGAAGGAGTCTCATGAATTAGGTGACAAGCTTTAGCTTTATTTTACACTGTACTTTCCCCTACCCTCGAAAGTTTATCTACTGTTCTTCCCTTCCTATACCCAGAGGTTGGCGATTTCTTTGATCGCTTCGTTGGTGATGAAGTCTTTCCATCCAATGGCCAGGATCTTTCATAGGCACTTATTTTTGAAGGAGTCTAGTTTTGGTCCAACGCTTTGGTAGATCTCCAGCTCTCGCAGTCGTATGTTAGCACTGAGATTATGTTTGAATTGAAAATGCTCAGTTTTGTTCTGACATCTTTGATTTCTCAGTTTTTTTCTAGTATCTCTGATTTCCACATGTTGAGTTAAGTAACTGCTGTGGACGCCTTTCCTGTCTAAATGTTGCTTCCTTCTTAAGGTCTCCATTGGTTAGTATGATGCTGCCCAGGAACTGTTCTACTTTACTTTTGTTTTTGCTCTTCTACTGTGATGATGATGATGCTTGACATCTACGTTTTGAGGATGTTTGTTTTGGTGCACCTAATTTTGAGCCATGCTTGGCCTACTGTTTTTGCCATGTTATCTGTCTTGTAAGCTTTAGGGCAGTGACGCTCTGTAGTTCAACCTCATTGGCAAAGTCTAGACCTTCTAGGCATTTGCAATCTACTCACATTGCTAACATCCTTCTTCATTACCAAGTCTATGGCAATGCCAAACAGTAGACATAACACACTACATAGTGTTATTTGCTCTGTTTCATTATTGTTTCAGATGCCTCAAAATAGGAACTACAGGCAATGATAAATGGATTGAAAGTTTATCAAGGTTTCACTCTTTCCACAAAGACTATTAGCTACTTCCCACAGCAGTAGACCTTGATCCATAAGACAGGTGTCTCCAAGCCACATTCTGCATTACAATAACAGTGAGGTAGCTATTTTGTGCTCTCTCTAATAAGATCACCATTAAACCAAAGCTGTACTAAATCATGGTTATGGTCCTTTCTATAGTAGTACAGTTTTTCTTAAGAGTGAGGGCCAAGAAGTCAGACACTGGAGAGTTTGTACGCAGTGTAGTTGGAGCCATGTCGGTCCCAGGATACTAGAGAGACCAGGTGGTTGGGGCCAATAAAAGATATTACCTCACCCACTTTGTCCCTAATTGGAGGTCTTATAAGTTTAGGGACTAAATCATCTACTAAAGACTTAGACATAAGCACAGATTTCTCACACCATCTAGGATCTGAGCTAGGGAGCAGATTGTCTCAAGTGTAATTTTATTTTTGAAAGATGTCCAAGAAGCCCTACTAAGCATTTACCTAGAATGAGAAATAAGATACATTTTTCTTAATTCATCCATTCCACTCAGGAAATAGGATCCTTCCCACCGAGGCTCACGGGTGTCACCTCTCTTCCAGTTCCCCACAGTTAACACAAGTTATTAGCCAACATTAGACTAAAATGAAGCAGGGTTGTACTCTGAGAAGGTGTACAGAATTTTAAGAAAGAGTTGAAGACTTGATCAAGCTATTCAGAATTATGAATAACCCACAGCTCCAACTTCAAATTTGATCCATGTTCTATTTCACAACCTCCAAAATCAGTGATAATCCTGCCACTCTGATAATCTCCAAATTTCACTTATTTAAACAGTGAACTTTACACCCCATCACTCCCTTGTTCCCCAGGAGACACAGCCTGTCTCTCCGTTTCCAATTTGTTAACTGCTACTCTCACTGCTCCTGTGCCACACCTCAGTTATCAGTGATGTACAGTAGTAAGTTTTCAAATACAAAAGCTCTAGACTAGAGGTTTCAAACTGCTAGTCTGCAGGCCAGATTCAGTTTCTGCAGAACATAAGCATTCATTTTTTTGAAGTTTCTAGGCATTATGGTTGCACAGAAAACCTTTCAAATGTCATTCAAAGTAGCAGTCTCAGTACAAAAGAGCTCTGGGGTGTGAACTGTCATCAAAAAGGGAAATGTACTTATCTTATAGTAACTGGAGGTTCTTTGAGATGTGTGGTCACTATCTGTATGCCACTATGGGTACACATGTGCTCAACGTGCCCAGAGCTGGAGAATTTTGAAAGCTGTATCCGTTGGTCCACACTTGTGCCCTGGCTCACCTCAGGCCTCTGACCAAGGAGATAAATGGCAGATCAGACCGACTGCCTCTCCAGTTCTTTCTCCACCATGAATCAGAGAAGATCTGACACAGAGGGGAAGGAGGGCGGACAGTGGAATAGATGGATTAGACAACAAATCTTGAAGAACCTCCAGTTACAATGCTGCTACCGAGGGTGCCACTGGAAGAAAAATCACAACCCGAAGATGGAATGGGAGACAAACTCCTTCCAAAGGACGGCTCCCTGGTGGAATAACCACCTCTCTCAAAAGGGAGGGACCCAAAGGAGTGGGAGACTCCAGGTCTGGAAGAGCGAAGATGACCTCAGGAGGAGTGTAGGTCTCTGTTCTTCCCAGCATGAGAAGAGTCCTGTCTGCCTGAACCGCAGGAGCTGCAATAGAGACAATCTGTGTTTTTAGCAGCTGTGGCAAAGATAGAACTGCGGATGATCAGTGTTCTCAATCAATCAATCTTCGTTGGTGCCAGCGGATCCCAGGTTTGTGCTTGGGAAGTACCACAGGCACAGGCATCAAAAGATTGTGATCCGGTGTCAATGGAACACTAGACTGTGGGCTTTCGTATCGTGCCTCAGACTTAGGACATCCTAA